ACTCTCTTCTATCTATCACACAAATATCGCTCAGAGTAGAGTGTGTGTCTCAACCTCTCTCTGAACTGATCCAATCCTATCAATCCAACAAAATTGAACCCCATCCTCGTTAAGAAACAAAGTTTATATAATCATTCACTAGTTGAAAATCATTAAAGCTTGTTGTGCTTATCCATCTTTTGACCATATGCTTCTATCTTCACAATCTAGCTTGAGACGATAACTATGTAGCTTTGTTTAAATTTGAACGCACTCATAGATAGTTCTAGTGATAATCACATATCTAGCCAATGTCTATCCATCTGATGTTCAAATTTGGATTTGCAGCTCCAAGATTTAGCAAAAACACCACATGAGAAAATCAAAGAATTATGTTACTTCTTATTCATCATTGGTCAAGTTGTTGCAATATAGTTTTGCCACGTCTTCTTCTTTTTCTTTTTGATGATAAATCATTTGATCATGAAATTTAGAGAGATGATAGAGGACTCAGAGATGAACACAATGATCCAAGTCTCACTTCAAATGGATTAAATATGAGAGAGCTATGGTTTGCTAAAGTGGATGCTTCTCTATTGAAAATTTACGTCAGCAAGATTAAGGAATTTGCAAGCTCAACCGCTCCTTTCATAGGGAGCAATATAATGCCACACATTTTAAGGGTGATAGGACATTGAGTCAGAAATCCAATGATCTTGTTCCCATGAGAAATTCCCCTTGGATAGGGAGAAATCTCAGTTTTGGTGGCCTAGGTTCATCCTGACTCTTAACAAATAGTACATAAGGTTTTCGATTGCCAATGGATACAAACGATGGGTTAAACCATCTTCGAATATTGTGAAACTTTAGGGTGATGGATATAATGCCTCAACGATGAATCCCTAAAAGTCTAATCTTAATTCCAAACATAAAGTTTCGGGGCATCGGTTAAGGCATATCTTGATTGCCAACATATACGGATGTTGGGGTTAAGCCAACTCTGAATGATGCCCAATGTGTATAATTATTGGACTTAAATGCATATGAGGCCTCATGAAACATATCTGTAGGGATACACCTAATTGTGATATCATATGGTGAGGTTTCCTTATGTTCCATCTGTCAAACATTTTATCCTTGGCTGATGATGAATTCAAAGAGATATATTACATGTATCATTTGGAGAGGCGTATATGGGCTATGCCGACTCGTGACCCACACTGTATAATCAAAGGCTCATGATCTTAGCCTATCAAAGTCAAACCAATGTACTATTCTTAATCCCCAATTATAAGAGGATTTTAGGTGCACCCCCTAGAGGACATGCATAGACATGGTGCGGGGTTCCTCTCTTGGAACATATGCATAACTCTATCCAGTGTATTTCTAGAAGGCCCGTTTCCTATGCATTACGATTATATATACACATGTTACGAGAAGGTTATAGGAACTAGGGATTTAGGCCAATGTCCTCTATTGGCCCTAACATTGTCGTACAAGGATTTTTGTCATCAAGCTCATACGTAAATCATAGTGCCCTGACTCATCACTTAGTCATGAGGCACGAATATAACAATCGACCCTGAATAATAGGTAACCCTCAACCTTCTCTGTACCTCCCATACATATAAATCCTTCTCTTTCCATGACTCTTAGTCTTAATGCGCTAATATCCTAAAGTCATATCGCTCTTTTACTCCTATTGAAGTTAAGATCCATTGAAAATGCTGGAATTTAAGGCATTGAAAGAACATAATTCTAATAGTTATAATAAAATAAACCACTTTAATACTACCACTACTAGAAGATCTACTTGGGAGAATTTTTTCAATCTGGAAATTTAGGAATTACATAAGAATTATTAGATGATTATTCTCAAAATAGAAAAATTGAATTTTGAGTTTTATAACATTTAGATATCACCTTTTAAAAATTGGATGGTCTTTATTCAATCTAGACTTCTTCTTTTTTTCCAAGTATATATAGGGTGTAATTAGGAATTTTTTTCCCCTGTTGAGGTTAATCTATGGGTTAAAGATGTTATATCCTTAAAATTTACCTGAGGGAATAAATGAACAATATATTCCAGGAGGAGCATAACATCTTTTGGCATGGTGAAAAGTGCTTAGAAGGCTACTTATTCAAGAGCAATTCATATGTCTAAATGCTCCCTTGAGGTTGGCAAGTATATTCTCCCCATGGTTGAAGTTACATCTTGAAAGAATGTTTCAAGAAAATTATAAATCCCCTAGGTCCATAATTTCTATGCATGCTCCACCCCGACACTTTTTTAACCACACCACTAATCCCAATTGGTATTTATTTCTGCATTCACCTCTAAAGTAAGAAAGTAGATTTTTTAAGATGAAAATAGTAGATTTTTTAAGATGAAAATAACTCATGTGTATAAATCTCGTTCTTTCCCATTCCTTCACTCTCTCTCAAGGCTTTCACATTTTTAGAGAGTTTCTCTCTCTAAAAACTTGAAATTTAAGATAAGTTGAAATTCCCAATAGTTTCGCTCTATAAAACTTTAAATTTGAAATAGTTTTTCCTTCTAAAAAATTTGAGATAATTTTTCTTGGAATATTTGAAATTTGAAATAGTTTCTCTCCAAAAATTTTAGAGATAATTTATCTCTAAGATTTCAAGTTTTCAGACAAAGAAACTACCTTAAATGTATCTGTGTGTTATTGTCTTAAAAAGCCTACTTTCTTACTTTCAATGTGGATGCAAAAAATAAATAATATTGATGTTATTGGTGTGGTTTAAAAAGTATTACCATGGGATATTTCAAGAAAGTATGATGGGGGGTATTATAATTTAGAAACAATATGGGAGGATTTTGTGCTGCATTTGTTGTTCCTCTAGGGCACACATCCAACGATGTTGTTGATTTTTCAGCATTTGAAAGGGGCATTCAGCTAGTTATTGAGCTGGATTGCTTCCACTGGTAATTGAGAGTGATTCACAGGTTCTAGTGTATTCCCTTCACGGCCGCCATAAGCCCCCTGGAATCTCCGTATTATGACAGCAAACTGCCTTTACCACCTGGATAGCCGCCCCTGGAGTATTAAGCATATCTATCGAGAGGCTAACTCGATGGCCGATCACTTGGCCAATAAGGCTACAAGTCTCTCTGAGGCCACAGTTTAGTGTGCATGGCCACTTGCTTTTATTTCTCCTCTAATTTCTTTTGATAGGGCCAGGGCTTCTCATGAAAGAACTATACCATAAATTCTTTATCCTTTTATACCATTCTTATTTATTAATGAAAAACGCGTAGGGGCCCAAATCCCCACTGACTTATCCCAAAAAAAAAAAAAGGAAAAATATCTCCATACCCCTCATTTTTAAGTTTTATATCTCAATAGACCCAATGTTTCAAAACATATCTTGGGTTATATCTTTTAACCCCTAAGCTAACTTTATCCCCTTTAAACCTATTTTTTTGCCCCAAACAACTATAAAAAAGGCATCATTTCTAAACACCATCCTTTCTCTCTTTACGTGATTTTCTCCTATATCTTTCTCTACCTATTTTTCCACTCTCTCTCCCCCGGTATCTCTCACTCTCTCTCTCTCCCCCATTAGAGAGAGAAATTTGCGGGAATATATCACGTAAAAAGATAAAGAGTTTAGAATGAGCATGTCTTTTTTATATTTGTTAGGGTTTTGAATTTTTGGGTCTATTGAGATATGAAAACCAAAAATAAGGGGAACGTGAAACTCTACCATTTTTCAACTATTCCAAATCATATTCGTGTATTTTGATGGATATTTTGAAATTAAATAGATCTATATGAGCAAGATGTCAGATAGTTGATCTCTTGCATGCGTTAAGTTTTCTTCTTTTAAGGAGAAATTATGGTAAAATTGGAAATTTTTTGTGGCATTACTAAATGATATAATTTTTTTCCTAAGATTTACATGGAGTTCATATCCTTATGCATTTTATTTTTTTATTTTTTATAGTTCCCCCGATCGATTTTTTTCTTTTTATTGTTTATTTTCTTCAATCATAAGGTTGTTTTGTTGGTCAGAGGTTAATCGAGATATCGGCCCAATATTTGAAACATCTGATGCCCTTAAACAGAGGAGTTCGATGTCCCAAACATTGGACAACCCCATTTGTCCTCTTTTGGGTTGGTCTGATATTTGGTATATCGAACTGGCATATTTAAAGAAGTCGTTTGATGTCACAAACATCGAACTGCAATGCCAAGGAAAATTAAAATTTGGGGGTTAATCTGATCTTTGCGACATTGACCCAAAAACAGAGCAAATGGGGGCTGTCCGATGTTTAGGACGTCGAACAATGCAACTTAAGGGCAGTCTGATAATTCAGACAACGAAGTAACACTCAATTGACCCTTAACCAACAAGACAACGCCACCATAGAAGAAAATCTAATAATAATAAAAAATAGTCCTGTATTGTTAATATCCGTTTAAGGACCAAACTGAAAAATAAATAAAAAGGTCCCCTCATAAATTTTAGAAACAAACATATGGTATAGAGCTGAGGCTCTAAACAATCAAAGTAAAGTACATTTTTAAATACTATTGGGCAATGTGGTTTCATTACTTGAAATTTTTGTGATAGCTTTAAAATATATTTTTATATTTAATTATAAAATTTAAAGTTTAAAAAATAATGTAAATCGAACCGATCTACAAAAACTTCAAAATCTTAAAAGTAGTTATAAGATGCACTATTTTCAAAACTTAAATTCCATTTTTTTTCTCATATTCATGCATCTTGATGTCGAGATGATATGGGAATATTTGAGCATCGAAACAACCTTGTCTAATGAAGTTTTTAATGTGGGGTCTAATTTGATTGCTTAGAGCCCCGACCCTGTATTAACTTTTTCCTTTTTTAATACAGCATTTACAGTAAATTTTCATTGTTTTTCAATTGAACCAGGTCATCGTCATTAAACAATCTGAGCCATGCGTGAGGACCACGGTATATCCAAGTGTCACTTGCCCTTTAGACTAAGTATAAGAGAAGAAAGGCACGGCAAACCAAATCAAACATAGAGAGAGACTTGGGAGGTTCAAGGTGTGAGGGGCGTGAAAATGGAAGCAGGTCATGATGTCTTTCATTGTTTTTCAATTGAACCAGGTCATCGTCATTAAACAATCTGAGCCATGCGTGACCACGGTATATTCAAATATCACTTCCCAAGCCAAATCAAAACATAGAGAGAGACTGGGAGGTTAAAGGTGTGAGGGGCGTGAAAATGGAAGCAGGTGATGATGTCTCTGATTTGGAGAGGTTGCCAGAGTCCATTCTCCTCCATAAGATTTTATCACTCCTCCAACCCCGTGAGCTGGCCCTGTTATCTTGCTCCGCTTCCAAGCTCAGGCCATTGGCCATCTCAGATGAGCTCTGGTTCCCCATTTGTTGCAAATTAGGTCTATTGCCGAAACCCGTGAAGGGGAAGCTCCAGCAAAACCCTTATCCATGGAGGAACTGGCATCAACTCTTCTGCTGTAAAAAAGTAAATTAGCCGTCTATTCATTTCGTTTGTCTCTGCTTCTATCTATACTTACTGATTGCTCTTCTGTAAAATGCTGGCTTATTCCGTGATTTGTTCCATAATCTTATTTTTCTTTGTTGCTCTGCATTCTTGATTTTATACTTGGTATGCATTTGCAACTGTATATGTATATGGTTTACTAGATCAAATACAGAGGAAACAAAGAGCTTTCAATTGAATCTCAGAAAATAATGCAGGAAAAGCAAGTCAAAATGGATGGGGATAATAAGGGAAGGGAGAACCGGAGAAGATTGAAGAAGATCACATCATCATAAGGAGATAAAAGAAGCAATTTGGGAAAGATAAGAAACAATAGCACCGAAATTATGGGAGTCTGAAAACAATCTACAGAGGGCAGTAAAAAACATGAAGAATTAGAGAAAGAAGGAATAGGTGAGGCTAAGGCATATGAATTTAAGCAATTCTGACTCAAAGACCTTTGAATTGTGGGTAACAAAATGAAGTTAAATTTGATGAACCACTCTTTATGTTCAGCAGCACTTTGCAAAACACCGTACGGGAGGGAAAATTAGCTATTTGGAGTTGTTGAACTAGCAAAAAGGTTATGGTACTGAACTCAATGGAACTGAAATTACTGTTGGTTCATAAGCTGTCTAGATTTGGTGATGCTTTTGTATAACAACCTCATTCTATAGAATGCATCCCTAGCACCTACATATCTCCATCATGATATAAGAATTTTCCAAAGGTCCTTTTCCATAGGAGTTACCTATCTATTGTGTTGGCATAAGATCACTCTCAATGTCTAGGAAGGAAGAGTGTAGACCATATTTCCAATTGACCTGTCAAGCATCTTATGAGATGGACCTTGTTAATTCCATCTTCTAGTCAACTATTTAGACAATGCTAATGTTATATTTATCTTGGAATTTCATATCTGTTAAAAAATTAGTTTGAATTTTATGATTTTTGGGTGGATATTAATTTTGTATAATTCGAATCACCTCTGCTCATCCCTGGACTTTGGTGGCCAGAAGAAAGCGACACTGCAAGAGGCCCCCCCCCCTGGCGTCCTCACGACCTTGCCCAACTCAAAGCGAGCAACCCAGGACAATGTCCACTGAGGAAGTCGTACTGGCGTCGACATGTCGAGTACTATGACCAGTCCATGCGAAAGGATTGGACACAAAGCATTCAAAGCTTTCTTCGAGCCCGTAGGCCTTAACTGACCCGAATTCCAATGCCTTGATCGGGTCACCCTTTGTTGTCACTCCCCCCTCACGCCATCGACCCGAGAAAGAAGTGGTGGAGGACTTTACTCCCTCCCGCCCCCCCCTCTTCCAGCTAACAGGATCGACCCGGCCCATCCTCCTCGTTCCTCCCTCGACCCATCTCTCCCAGGGCTTTTTGTCCTAAGCCACCTTCATTATTATCCCCCTGCCACACTTTAGCCTGCCCCTTTACGTGTCCCCTCGAGCCCCCCCACCCTGCGCACCTGCTGCCTTCCCGTCCACCACCTGTCTCCGTCCAACGCCCACCTGTTGATTTCGGCACCCACCCCTCGCCTTCTGCCGCAGCCACCTTCACCTTCACACTTGTCTTTGACCGATGCCCACCTGTCGTTTTCACCGACGAAGGCCCTACACTTGTCCTTGATGGATTCTGTGACCCCAGACCTTTCGCTAACCGACATTGCCAACCTGTCTCCATCACTGCCTCTTTCAGCTCCTCAGGCCTTGTCACCCCTCCCTCTTTACCCCTCCCGCCTTTCCCTGTCGATCCTCCACCCTCCATCCTACCAAACCCACTCAGTGAGTCACCCCAAGGTCAGCCTGTCGTTGATCACTTTTCTCTAGAAGGTGACACTTGGCTTAACTGCACCTCGTATCACGCAAAACCCCTGCCTCCCCTTAAGGTTAACTCGGTTTCCCCTCCCCTGGTTAACCCCCTCGGCTCCTCCTGTTTGTCTACTCTTTCTACCAACCCCAGCTTTGCCTACCGACCTCTGGTTCCCTGTGACCAGATCCCAGTTACCCCTTCCCTTGCTCCCAGCACTTCTGAACCCTCCCAACCGTTGGTCCTCCAACACTCTCCTCTTCGCTGCCTTCTCCCTGACTTTCTTCCCCCTGAACCTTGAAGATTTTCTTCAACCTGCACAGAAGATCAAGCCTTCGGTCGGCCATATTCCCAACCAGGTTACGAACAAAGACCTAATTCCCTTGGGCATTGTTGCAGCTCACTCCATGGACCACTCTCCCCCTGACCTTGCTTTTATCTCTCTTTTACTGGCCCCTCACCAGTCGTACACCCCGCATCATCCACAGGGTTCAAACACTCCATGTTGCTTGGCCTTCCTCCTCCCCGCTGATGGTATCCAGTTACTACTCCATCCAAACCCTCCATTTCCTAACTTATCTCCCTTCCTTTTCTGTTGCTAACCCTCCCCTACCCTTCCCCTTCCCTTATGAAATCCCTTCCCCCCCTCACCTCTCTTACCAACCCCTAACTTGGAGTCTAACCCCTAGTCGCTTCATACTTTGCCCCCTATCTCCTCTTACTCTTCCTAGCACCATCCCTATCCACGTTCTTGCCTCAGACTCTTTAGTGTCCCTCCCCCTTCTACCCCCTGACCTTTACCCCACTAACCCATCCTCACCCATGGCAGAAGCTGAAACCGAGACACCCGACTTGGCAGATTCTGAAATCGAGTCTGCCGAGGTACCTAACTCAGCAAAATCTGTTTCTGTACCCCTCAAGAACTCACAGGCACCCAATTCTCCTTCCCCGACCTCCGTCGAGGCAGAGGAGGTCGACGAGGATGGGACAAACAGAGTTGAAGATAGAATGAGAGAGATGTACAGAATTATGGGGTTCGAGTATGATGGACTCGAAGGATCGGCTCACAGGTTCCTCACAGTTCACGCGCAGAGCAGGATGCAGTTGAGATTCAAAGGCCAGAGAGAGCTTTGTAACCTTTTCTTCTCCATCTCCTTTGTGGGACAGCCTGCAAATTGTCTCCCCTCTCCTTCCACTACAAACCATCCAAGGAGGTCCCCCAGATTGGCCTCCTCCTTCTTGCCCACCCCCAAAAGATGAAGTTGCTAGTTTGGAACGTTCGAGGTTGGGACAGTCCTCCAAGAAGGACGCTGTAAAAGACTTCTCGTCCAAACTCTCTCCTGCAGTTCTTGCCCTCATCGAAACCAAACAAACAGAGCCCAATCTCAAACTCATTCACCAGGTCTAGGGAAGAAGACCTTGCTAGTGGGTCGCTCTTCCGGCGAATGGGGCTTCAGGAGGAATCTGGGTGGTCTGAAACCCTTCAGACCATATCCTAAACTCCTCCTATATAGGGGAGTTTTCAGTTTCTATCCTTCTTTCTATACGTGGTCCAATGGAGATTTACGACCGTTTATGGCTGAAACTCACCCACCCTCAGAAGCAGACTTTGGTTTGAGTTGGAACTCGTTGTGTCCTTACCACACCCCACTTGGTGCTTGGGAGGAGACTTTAATGTCACCCAGTGGTCGTTTGAGAGAAACTCCTCATCCTCCATCTCTTAGAATACGAGGGATTTCTCAGACTTTATCAGTGGGAATGAACTCTTAGATATCCCCCTTCAAGGCTGCCGGTATACGTGGTCCAACCATGCAACAAACCCCACCCTTTCTAAATTAAATAGATTCCTCCTTTCTCTTAACTGGGAGGAACAGTTTCCGAGATCCTTAGCTTTGGCTCTACCCAAACCCACCTCGGACCACTGTCCCATTCTTCTAGATATGATTGCTGTAAGGAGGGGCCCTAGACCCTTCAGATTTGAACTTCTTTGCTCTACAAGGAGTCCTTACAAAACTTCGTTCAAACTTGGTGGAATTCTTTTTCCTTCCAGGTCACCGGTAGAGCTGGTTACATTCTTCAGACCAAAATTCAACTCTTCAAAGCCTCCCTCAAGACTTGGAGTCGTTCCAACCCCATTAACTTCTCCCAAATCAAATCCTCCCTTCTGGAAACCATCCAAAAATTTGACCGCCTTGAGGAATCTAGATCTTTGGACGCCACAGAGCAGGATCTTAGATCCAAGACAAAACTGGAATACCTTTCAATTCTAAAAAAAGAAGAGATTTACTGGTTCCAGAGATCTAGAATTAACTGGTTGAAAGCAAGTGACCATAACACTGCTTTTTTTCATCGGATAGCCAATTGTCGCAGAAGAGACAATATGCTATTTCTATCATCAAATACAACAACTGCTACCTAACTCAATCAAATGAAATCGAGTAGGCGATCATTGAGTTCTTTCAAACTCTATACTCAGCTCCTTCCGGCCTCAGGCGAGAAGGTCTTCCCTGGACTTCTTAACCCTCCCTGTAGACCGAGTCGAATGGCTAAAGCGACCCTTCTCAGAAGAAGAAATTATACAAGCTATCAATTCTCTAGCCATAGTCGAGGCCTCCGGGCCTGATGGCTTCTTGACTGCACCATTCAAGGATTTCTGGGATACCTTCCGGCCTGATTTCATCAAGTTCTTTGAGGAATTTTTCCTCCGGGGAACTCTCCACAATGCTACTAATGCCACTTTTCTTGCACTTGTCCCTAAAATTGAAGGGGCTGAGGAAATCAAGGACTTCCGTCCAATTAGTCTCCTAAATTCCTCTTACAAAATTCTGGCAGAAGTTCTTGCTTCTAAGCTTCAACAAGTCCTTCCTTTCATCATCTCTTCTTCACAATCTGCCTTCATCAAAGACAGACAGGTCCTCGATGGGGCTTTAGTGGCTCACAAGTGTATCCATTCAAGGCATTTGGAAAAAAAACCTGGTCTAATCTTCAAAATAGACTGGGAAAAAGCTTATGACCATTTTGATTGCAAGAATGGGTTTTCGGGATAGATGGAGGAAGTGGATGAAAGGTTGCTAGTCCCATCCACACTTCTCAATCCTTATCAATGGAATCCCAAAAGGCTTCTTCCCCTCCTCAAGGGGTCTTCGTCAAGGAGATCCCTTTTCCCCCTTCTTGTTTGTTGTCTCTGCAGAAGTGTTCAGCTGATCAATTTCCAGGCTTAACCAGGCAGGACTCCTCACCGGTTTCAGGAGCAGTAGGCATGGTCCTATATTGTCTCATCTGCAATATGTAGATGACACTTTGGTGTTTCCTGACGCCTCCCAAAGTGAAGTTGACACCCTCAAACTCTTCATGGAATGCTTCCAAAAAGCAACTGGATTCAAAGTCAATATGGACAAATCTAAAATGTTGGGGGTTTCCCTAACAAATGTGGAAGTTAGAGCATTCATTCCAAATTGGGAATGTAAAGTGGAGGATCTCCCGTCTACTTATCTAGGCCTTCCACTTGGTCTGGGGAAACCCAAAAAGAGACAATGGTCCAAAGTTCTAGATAAGATTGATTGACATCCGGCAGGGTGGAAGGGTCGTTTCCTCTCAACGGCAAGTAGAATGACCCTGATTAATGCTACCCTCGCAAACTCCCCAGTTTGCGTCATGTCCCTTCTCCATATGCCAGCCTAGGTGGCTAACCGCCTAGACCAACTCATGAGAAACTTCCTATGGTCGGGGCAGGCTGAAAAGAGAAAATTTCATCTTGTAGCATGGGACAACATTTGTCTACCCAAAAATCAGGGAGGTCTAGGAATCTGGGTTCTTTGAAATCATAACTTGCACTCCTAGAAATATGGTGGTGGCGTCTAGCCACTCAGCCCAACTCTCTATGGGCTCAGGTCTTACAGAATAAGTATAGAATCCCCGAAGGAGTCTGGGTACCAGAAAGGAGTCAGTGGAATAGCACCTCAGGAGCTTGGAAATCCTTCTCCTCTGCTTTCTCTCAGTTCAGAAATTTCATTAGGTTTTACCTTAGAGAAGGTTCTAGAGTGAGATTCTCGTCAGACTTATGGTTAGGAACTTCTCCCTTGCGAGAAGTGTTCCCTACCCTTTACACACTTGCTCTAAACAAAGAATCTTCGTTTGCAGAGGAAATGGTTATGTTAGGAGACCGAAGAGTGTGGAACCCATCTTTCCAAAGGTACCTTACAGAAGAGGAAACCAATCATTTTCAGTTGCTTTCAACAACCCTACACTACCTCTTCATTCTCATTTGAGGACAAGATGCTTTAGTCTGGACTCTAGCCCCCTCTGGTAGATTCTCGGTATCCTCTTTCTACAAGAGCCTCACCCACCTCCCCATTTTTCCAAGGAACCCCACTTCGATACTGTCGAAAGTTTGGTCCACCATCGCCCCACCCAAGGTCCAAAATTTCAACTGGCTCACTTGTTCCCAAAGTGCTCTCACAGTGGATCATCTTCAAAAGAGAGGGATCCCGATCCCCAATAGATGTGCTCCGTGCCTCTGCGAGGAGGAATCTAATCCCCATTTATTCATTCTCTGCGACTTTAGCCACGAACTTTGGGGCCAAGTGTTGCAGCTCTTTGGCATCAAATGGGTAACCCCTCCTACGGCCAAGGCCTATCTCTGACGACTTACATTTTTGTTGGCCGAAGGTTGGAAGAATCCTATGGAAGGCTACTATCGCCGCAACAATTTGTACAGTCTGGGTGGAAAGAAACACTAGAATCTTTCAAGGTGCAAAACTCCACACATCTGCACTCCTACACATGGTTATCTCTTTTGTCACTTTTTGGGCCTTTAACCACCAAGCTTTTTCGGGCATACCAGGGAGCTTCTTCCTCAGCGAATGGAAAAATATCCTTCATCACCAATCGAGACTGGCACTAAGACCCTATAACTGGCACTAAGACCCTATAACTGACAACCACCTCCAGAAGGCATCATCAAGCTGAATTTTGATGGTTGCTCCTTAGGGAATCTTGACCAGGCAGGGCAGGAGAGATCTTTAGAGACCATCAAAGCAACATCCTCCTAACCTTTTTTGAACATCTTGGTCTCAAAGACTCCCAACACACAAAAGCTGTGGCCCTCTTAATAGGCTTGAAAAGTTTCAATCACTCTTGGGGCTCACACCTGATAGTGGAAGGAGACTCACAAAATGTCCTTTCTTGGGCAAGTAGGATGTCTTCCCCACCATGGCACTTAACCTCTTTTTTTGACGAAATTGATCACATTTGCAGGGCTATGGACGTCTCCTGGAAGCCTATATGGAGGACGTCCAACGTTCTCGCAGATCTGTTGGCGAAAGAGGGAGCTAGAAGCCAAGGACAAATTCAAGCCGGGTCCATCTCCTTTTTTGCCCAGGACCCTTGGAATATAGCTTAAACACCTTGTATCTCGACAACTTCCAACCCTATTGCATTTTTTGAAAGCTTCATGTAAATTGATGTAATTGGGTGGATTTTATAAGCCATTTGTTGTACATGATAGACTTAGGCATTTTTTACCAAGTCACTCTGCGTGGTGACTTCGGAATCCCGTAACCATGTAATTCTCCCCTTTAATACAATGTTAACATTTTCAAAAGAAAAAAAAAGTTGTTAAGAGATAATAAATAGATGCACTGACAAATATGATGTTATTATATGTTATTACTTTAAACATGATTTAAAGCCACAACATAAGAAATCTAAAAGCCAAAAACTAGAATGGAACATGAGAATGTATATCATAATTGGTAACAAATTATATGCCATTTGGATTGGATGCTCCCGATATTGTCTTAAATGTTAAAAACATCAATCGTACTTGAAATTCTTTTACTGAAAAACTTCTTCAAAATTTTTGATGGAAGAAAGACAAATAACTACTTAAGACTGATTGGCAACTCCACTGGGATCAAATCTGGACCTCTGGTCTTGTAGATCAACGACTTTTCAATTTCGCAGTCGTTGTTGATTTTTATTTAGGTAATTTTGCACCCTTAATCCTGGGGTAATTTGTGAAGGCCTTCTCAAAAGTTGGGGGCCATAGGTTTATTTATAGATTTAATATTTGGGATTGTATACAACAAGACCATTTATCTTTTATATAAGGTGGTCACAATTCCTTACAATAATTTGATTTGAAATTTGATAGCTTGGATGTGTCACAAAGTTCGAGAAAATTTATTTTGAAGTTTGAGCTTGGTCAATGGAATAATTGCAGCCACCCAACTTTACATCGAATGGTCAAGATTATTGTGACCACCTTGTATAAAAGGTAAATGGTCTCAATCTATACTGTCCCTTAATATTTTCTGCGTGGACTAGCAATCTTTTGTGCATATCCCAGACACTCAAACACATTAATATCCGTGAATTTTTTTTGTAATTTCTCATTTTATTCCACCATCCTAGAATAGCTGCGGTACATGTGTTGATATCAATTGTTCTCTTTTCTTCTGTTTTGATTGTGATTTCTTACCTCCTAGCATGATCATGTTTGTGATTTGTGTTTCATTATTCAAATTATTCAATGAGCAGAACGTGAAATGCATTGAGTGCAACGGGGATACCCCCTATGTCTTCAAGTTGACGCCTTCTCCTGTACGACTATGTGAAAGGTCTGACTTCTCATCCTCTCATCAAGTTTTTGTATCCCATGTCTTTCGAAATATAAATCCTGATTCTTGATTGGTGTCTTTGCTATTTTTTTGTAGATTTGTTTCTGTTGATGCGCTGTTTTTATGATTGCTTGTAGAAGAGCGGTCTTTTTTTGTTCTTTCGTTTCTTCTTTTTTTTTTTTTCATGGCATGCCTGTTATTTTATGTAAGGAAAAAGTTTATATAGAACCAAGCCTCTAAATAATCAAATTAGATCCCACCTAAAAGAGGTTGTTTTGATACCCAAATATCCTCAAATTGATCATCTCGATATCAAGATGCATGGACATGAGAAAACAAATGGATTTCAAGTTTTGGAAATAGTGCATCTTGTAATGCGTTTTTGGACCATCAATTTTCAAGATTTTCAAGTTTTCATAGATCTGCTCGATCTACACTAATTTTGAAGCTTTGAATTTTATAATTAGAGATAAAAATATATTTGAAGGCTATCACAAAGATTTCTAGTATCGAAACCACATTTCTCAACACTATTTGAAGGTACGCTCTACTTTGATTGTTTAGAGCCTTGGCTCTATACAAACCGCATCATTTATGTAATTATATGGTTCTTTGGTATTTTGAAAATATCACCCAGCATGATAAAGGTAGGTCAACTTGGTTTCTTTCTAAGAAAAACTTCAAGGGCAAGATTCATTGACCTCCCTATGCAAACCTGATGGCTATCACTTGGTCAATGGCCACTACCACTAGGCCAAAGGCGATACTTCCATTCTGTGCTTTACTTAGACCTTGAAGAGTTATCGCTATGGTGTCTTGAGCTTGATGTCTTAGGGAAAACCTAGGAAGAGGCAATCGTCCCATATCCTTAATAAGGTAGACCGACGCCTGGCCGGATGGAAGGGTAGATACCTTTCTCTGGCAAGAAGAAATACCCTAGTTAAGGCTACTCTAGCAAACTCCCCGGTCTACTTTATGTTGCTTTTCCAAATGCCTGCTCAGGTGGCAAACAGACTTGATCAACTCATGAGGAACTTCCTTTGGTTTGGGTAGGCTGAAAAGAAAAAATATCACCTTGTGGCTTGGGATAAGGTCTGTCATACTAAAAATCAAGGTTGCTTAGGGATCACAATTCTTAGAAAACACAGTGCTGGGGAAATGGTGGTGGCGCCTAGCCACTCAGCCAAATGCTCTTTGGGCACAGGTCCTGAGGCATAAATATAAAGTGCCAGAGGATACCTGGCTGCCAGAAAGATCTCAAGTCTATAATGTTTCAGGAGCTTGGAAATCCTTCTCAACTGTCCTGGCTACTTTCAAGAGGTACATTAGGTTCCATCCAAGAGAGGGTTCGAGAGTGAAATTTTGGCAAGACCTTTAGTTAGGACCTTCCCCCCTGCTAGAGGCCTTTCCAAATCTTTACTCTCTTGCCAGAGACCAAGATTCCTCTATCGCTCAGGAATTAAGCAACTCAGGAGGTCGTAGAGTTTGGAATACTTCGTTTCGAAGGAACCTAAATGATGAGGAAACCAATGACTTCCAGCGGCTGTTGAATACCCTTCATTCCCGTTTTTTCCTATACCAAGGAAGAGATGATATAGTTTGGACATTAGCAACCTCAGATAAGTTCTCTGTTGCTTCTTTCTACAAAAACCTTACTTTCTTATCCACTACCCATGATTCTTCCTCCAGAGGTTGGTCCACTATTGCTCCACCTAAAGTACAGACCCTCATTTGGCTTGCTTTTGCTCAAAAGGCCCTCACAGTTGACCACCTACAAAAGAGAGGGTTCCCAATCCCTAATAGGTGTGCTCTGTGTGAATGTGCGGAGGAAACATACCCCCACTTGTTCCTACCTTGTGATTTCTCTTCTGACCTTTGGGGCAGTGTGTTACAATTATTTGGAATAAAGTGGGTCACCCTGCCCTTGGTAAAAGCTCTCCTAACTTACAATCTTGACTAAAGTTGGCCTAAGAGAGGAAAAATCTTGTGGAAGGCGACTATAGCAACAACATTTGGATACTTTGGCTAGAAAAAAATTCAAGAATATTCCAAGGGTCAAAACTCCAAACTCCGGCTCTGCTGCATAAGGTTACCTTGCTGGTGACCTTCTGGGCCTCCAATCACAATTTTTTCGCTGGAATCCCAGGGACCCTATTCCTCTCTCAATGGGGAAATATCCTCCACCATCAACCACAGGGGGTTAAAAGGCCTAACAACTGGTTACCACCACCACAAGGTAGTATCAAGTTAAACTTTGATGGGTGTTCCCTAGGGAACCTAGGGCTAGCAGGGGCAGGAGGGGTTTCTCGAGACCATGAAGGAAATATTCTCCTAGCAATTTCCGAATACCTTGGTCATAAGGACTCTCATCAAGCAGATGCCCTAGCCCTCCTTATAGTATTGAGAAATCTCAATCCCTCTTGGGGCTCACATCTTATAGTTGAAGGAGACTCAAAAAATGTCATCCCTTGGGCTAACAGAACAAGCGATCCGCCTTGGAACCTTACTCCAGTTTTTGACGAGATTCATCACATCTGCAGGGCTATGGACGTCTTATGGCAGCATGCGTAGAGGATGTCCAACGATACTGTAGACAGTTTGGCGAAAGAGGGAGCTAGAAACCACAGTCAGGTTACTCAAGCTGGGTCCACATTCTTTTTTGCTCAGGACCAGTGGAACCTAACCAGTACTTGAACCTCTTGTATTTAGATACCCTTTTTGGTTTGTGGTCTTTTTGTAACTTTACTACTGTAAACGGGCACTCTTTTAAGCCTTTTCTTCCTTTTTTTGCTACTTCCTTGTAAACTTTGTAAGGGGCATTGTTTATAAGCCCATTTTTTGTTACAGGGTCTGTTTGACCTATTTTTTACCAAGAGTCCAGTCTAGAGGGTACTCTTGGATCAATCCCTAACTGTAATCTTTCTCCCTATAGCAGTACAAAAGTCAACGTTTCTAAAAAAAATAAAGAATAGAAATTAAAAATAAGTATAATTTTTCCCTCCATCATTGTCCCCTTGTTGGAGAAAACTCGTCTTCGAGTTTAAGGTGTGCTAAGATGAATTCAGCATAAAAAACACCTTCTTCAACCTTCTTTTTCGTGGTTGGCTCAAATACTCTTCGTGGTAAAGATAATTCCTCAATAAACGGATCCTGATATGTATATTGAGGAATCAGGGCCACAATTTGCAAATTGTGTATCGACCATGCTTTCATTGCACTACTCTGATTCCAATGCTCTAAATCTCTTGAATGCTCCACCTCTTCAATATTAATGATATCTTCAAAGGCCATGATTTGGATCAGTCCTCCTGTTGCCTTCTCTCCATATTCTTCACCTTCTTCCAAAATCTCTTTATCATTATCTTGAACCTTATCATAGATCAGATCTCTTAAAAGATCTTGTTGTTCATCTGCGTATATATTGAAGATTTTTAATGCAATTTATGTTAAAATAAAAAAATCTCATCCTCCAAATCGAAAACGCAAGAGTGATGTTCCCCACGTCTAGGCTTTCTATTGCTATCCTCATCACCTGAATCCACACTCGGAGCGCAAAAGTGAAAAGGCTTGTGCTCGAGATCCTCTTGGGCTGAAAGATCACTGTCTTGCTCATTATTGAGGCTCGCAAATTGCTGCGTTAGCTGCTGTACTTGCCTTTCAAGTTCCTCAGTTCTATCATCTATAGAATCACGTAATAGATCTACTAAACCCCCTTTTATAGCCGCTTCTCGCTGTCATGGATTTACCGAAATCGCAAACCCTAGGCAATTAATCAACAAAAACGGCTGAAATAGGCAAGATCTAGGTTGTTTTGGCAAAACTTAGGCCAACTTCCCTTCTTTGTTGTTGACCTAGGGCACCAAAAAAAAAGTGGTGCTACAGTAACTCCGTATGTGTTAAAGGAACTTCCGTACTTGCTATAGTAACTTCCGTGTAGATCGCGGGCTGTGATACCAATTTGATGCAAGAAAATTTGAAAGAACAATAAAATTAGCAAGACACGAACCAAACACAAGCACAATTCGAAGAAACCCAGGTTTCTTTTCCATGCCCCAACCTAGGGTTCTAAAGGCCTAAGCTTTTCTCTCCTTCAATTTCTAAAACATCTCAAGGCCCCACACACTTTATATATTACAATTCAGTGCTCAAGGACATTACATGTCCATACATTGATTAAATGACCTATATATCCTAACTTAAACTAAATTTTATAATGACAGATTTACCCCTATGAATAGTATCCGTGAATAGTACTCATGAATAGTACTTGTGAATAATACTCATAAAATAAATAAAAAACTTCAAAAACTTTATAATTCCTAGAAACTAAAAACCCCTAGAATTAAACTCTAAAACTAAAATCAAAATATACATCTTTTAAAATAAAATAGAAATTAAAAATAAATATAGTTTTTCCCTCCACCAAAATTGGAACCTTTATGTGGTAGATTTTGTCCAATAGTAATATTGCTGACTTACTAAAAAAAATTAAAAGCCTTATATTTTCTCGAAATATGGCGTATTGGTCTCCAGTATTTTCCACTAAGTGTAATATCTTTTGTAAAAAATAGAAGTTGGGCGAAACCAATTGTTTGTTAGTAAATAAATATCATGAGCGCTTGTGTGGACTTTTGGATATCTGGAGTACCTGCATGGCCTACGCAAGTATTCCAAGCATTGATTTATTGTTTTTACCTAATGTCTTTGAATATCTTTAAAATTGAGGTCCTTTCCTCTATATATTTGGGAATTACATACAAATTCGGTGGAGCGGTCTATGCAATGTTCCATGGTGTATTCTGAAGTTTCTTATTAAAACAACATGATTGCTAGCTTAGGAAGGTGGTCGGTTCCCAATAACTTTCTGTCAAGCTTACCCTACCACAAGCTCTTTGGCATGTTTTGAGAGACATACCTATTTCCCTAAAACATTTCAAACCGCCTTGGCCTGGGTATTCTTGGTGCTGACTTATGGGAGTCGAGGGTATCTCCGAGCTTCTAAACCTTTGAAGCATTCTTTGGAAAATAATCAGCTTCTTCCAATAAACGAGTTCAGAGATCATAAAGTCAATGAAATTGGTAGAGAACCCTGGAGGTAAAGTTGATATTCATGAAAACCAAATTTATGAAAGATAAATTTGAAAAATATGGATTGAAAAGTGAATTAAGATTCAAGATCCAATCATTTGAAACCTTTCTTTTGCACTGGACTAGTGGCATAATATCTATAAAAGAGGATTCTAAGAATACAATTTCTTCTTAAATTTATGTTAATAGGACTATGACCTAATATTCTAATCCCTCCCATGTGGCGTAAAGGTTTTCGTTTATGACAACTTCATACTGTAAAAGGAGTCAGATTCGGACATAATGCTATATTCTCTAAATTTAAAAAATCTTCCAGACCTTAGAGCCACATACACCGACCAGTCTTAACCACCTTTTGTAAGCCTCCCAGCCTCTATAACGAACTAGTGATTTCCCATCAGTTTTAAGCAAAAGGAGTGTCAAATCTTGCTTTACAGTGCTAGTGAGAAGGTTTGATAAACTTTCCAAGCTTCCTCAATTTTTCCAAAATTGAAATGGAATTTTGGAAGTCGAATTATGCCGTGTTCTGCATCTTGGATACAGGTAGTGCATGTGTCACTGATACTAGAATGTAGTTACCAAATGCATTGTAGCTAAATACCTTTCAGAAAATTTGGGCCTGAAGATGCACAAGGGTAGCATGGGGATGTATGAGACTTTCGTATTTTGCCTATTTGAGGCAATGGTATTCCGAATACTGACAATGCGCCCTTGCAAGTAGGAAAAACTTTACCCATTCCTTAGAGTACCCTTCATGTTTCCTTGTAGTCCTCTGTAATGCGTGGTGAATCAGGCCATGCTGGGACAGAACAGATTTTTTGGAATTCTAGAGTTTCCATCACTGATCTTCTCATAGATGCAATGAGGCTTAGGTGATCCTTCAATTGGCAACTATAGGATGAATAGCTAACATGATTCGATTTATTATATTCCCATTCAGATGATTTCTGTGGATTTTGTTACAATTTAGTTTGTCTGGCTAAAGGATGCGTCCTTACATCTGCTTGAGTCAACTGCATTTATTTGTGTTTTTTGGTCTAAAAAGATAAGTTTCAGTCACTTCTTCAGGGCCTTTTGGCTGCTTCAGTAGATGAATCCATGTGTGCTTATCTGCCACATACCTGCCTGTATATTTGACTTCTGCAAGATGTGGGTTCTTTCTAAAGTGTAACACTCACACAACGAGGTACCCAAAGGGTACATTTGTGGAGTGCTGTCATAGGTGCACAGGCTGCTAAAACGGCATGCATGGTTGTTCCATGCATATCCTTGTTCCACGTTTGGAAACTATGATGTGCCTCAGATTTGATATGGAAATCTCATTGATCTTTGACTATCACTTTTCTTTCTTCAGTTCTATGTTTATTGGGGGGGGTTCGTAACAGAACCACAGAGAACAATTAAGGAACACACACACACACACACACAGAGGGAGAGAGGGAGGGATCGATTTTGCATAAAAGCATGTGTACTGACATCGAATATGTGGGAATTCATATGAGAATTTTGAAGAAAAATTTGTGTTCTGACATGGGGCATCTAAGAACTCATGTGCATGTAGGACAAACCTATTATCGCATCTGTGTTTCTGATGAACAACTTTTCTTCATTCTCGCACCGGAATTCTTTTATCATGTATATTTCATTTGATGTGCTGTAAGTGATGCAACTGGTCCAAACAACATTTAATCATTTTGTAGAACTTCTTTGAAAATACTCACTTATCATCACTTGTGATCCTCCTCATTGTTGGTAAAGCTGGGGAACTCAGAACTAGTGTGCTTTTTAGCCAATTCTAGATTGCTAGTGCACAAATCTACGAGGTATGAGTTGACATTGTCAGTGGTGGAGGTGTACTGTATTAAATGCAAACCTATCAATGTTAATGATGGTCTCTAATTTGTAGCATTCTTCTCACTGGCACCTTAGTGATTGATTCATATACATCTGCATGTTGCAGATGTGAATTCATGGGACAGAAATACGCTCTTGCTACAGAATTAGAAGCCAAAGGACGATTTCTGCTCACTGACGTTGACCTTCAGAGTCTACCTTTCAAAGAGATGAAGTTGAAGAGGATGTCTGTGTATTTCTTCCTCAGATCATCGCTTGAGAACACTGCCAAGGAGAACACCCATTTGCTCGAGAATGAGGGGCGCGTGGTGGACATCACAGAGAGCAATGAGAGTGGCGAAGAGTGTGAGGAGTTTTATGAGTGTGCAGATGGACCGAGTGAGCCGTGCAAATTTCAAGAACCAGAAAACAATAATGCCGACTTTGCCAAGGATGGGAAGAAGGCTCTTCGTAAAGAGCACAAACGTCTAGTGAAAAAGGAGAGTAGGGAAAAGCTCATGGGTGCCAAATCTGAAGAAAGCCGAAACATTCACAGCATTGATGTACCATCTCCATCTCTTAAAGGTAAATTCAAGAAGGGATGGAAAACCAAAAGAGAGCATTTAGAGGGAAATGCTGGATACCAACCAAAAGAGCTACTGCACAACTAATGGTAAAATCACCTAGTCCTTGGGTCAAGGACAGGGACTGGTTGGAGAGTGAGTTGGGTGCTTATGGGATGTCAGTTCTAGAGTTGGCGTCATTTTAGCCTACTTTGATGATTATGGTGGGTATGATGATGTTGTAAATAAGATCATTAACAGTGACAATGGGCCGGGTCAGCCTTGGCCCTGTCCCGGCCCTTGTCTTCTTAGGTGGGCGGGCCAAAAACAAATGAAGAAAAAAGTAAAGAAAAGATGAGAAAAGAAAAGAACCAGGCCGGCACGAGTCCTAGCCGGCCCTCTGGCTACAAACTCATGCACATGCCCTACTCTTTTAGGGCCGGGGCGACTGTGCCGGGCCGGGCCAGGCCACGTGCCCCATTGCCAGCCCTATTTACACAATAAGAAGATCATATTCCAATATGTGCTCATTACCTTTTTTACCACAAATTCGGAGCAACCTGGCAATAACAAGTAGACAGATTTGAAGTGAGTTAAATAGCACACGATGCCATGTGTCATCTACTTTTGTGGTTATGTGGGCGCGCACAACATCATGGTGTCCTCTCTGTGACTCTAATGCTGTGTACTTGAGATGGATTTGATTGACCTGATTTTATACTCTCATCTTAAAGAAACAAAATATGGAAATACGCCCTTACAAAATGTTTCTCTAAACCTACGGAACATAGACCATACATTTGAGGAGCCAATTAGAACGAGGCACTAAAGGGGTTTTATTTATCCCGAAATTGGTAGTCTTCTCATCATTTTGAGCAATTTTGAAAAAAAGATTGATTTTGAGTTTCAAAATGTTGATATATAAATATGGGAAAATATGGGAAAGTTATAGATACCTCTCAAAATCAATTTCTACACATCCTATCATCAATATTTTTTTTTTTTTTTCACATCTTAAATCCCAATACTATTTTTTTTTTTATTTACTCATCTATACAAATAGATTTTTCAATACATGTTTTTTTTGTATTTACTCATCTAGTCAAATCGTCAATGATTTTTTTTAGAGAAAATCGTTTTTTTCCCCTTTTCAATATATTATTTTATATTTTTATCTCTTTTTTTTTTTTGTTTGTCACGTGACATATTTGGTCTCTATTTTTCTCTCTCTACTTGCCTTTTCTCCTACTCTCTTTATCTCTCTCCACCCATACTCTCTCTCAACTTGCCTTCTCTTTCTCACTCGACCTTTACCCGTTTCTCTTTCGTTCTCTACCCTCCCTCTCTCATTCTCTTTCCGCCTGCCATCTATCCCTCTCTCACACACTCTTGCTGCACCCTCTCTCTCTAGCCGCTCTCACACTGGAGGTTTTCTCTCACACAGTGGGTTTGCTTTGAGCTCTCTCTATATCTCCCCATGCATACCACGCTTCAAAACTCACAAAATGGTCTCTTCTCTCTCTACAAGCTTGCTCATCTCCATCACCCAAGCAGTAGGCTCCTTCACCACAAGGCTCGAGCTCCAATAAGTCCATGCCCGCATCACCATACTTATCCTGCAAAACCTTCACCATTAGTAGGCTATTTGGCCCTCTTTGTGATCTTGAATCATGGCAACATCAATCACGCCCCAACCATTTTCACGCATTTAAAAAACATTACTTCATTAATGTATGACACCATGATTCGAGGCCTTTTTCAGTGCTTTGGACCAGTAAAACAGTAAAAGCTATTCAAACCTTCAACGGTTCAACCAAATGCACAATAGTGGCTATTAAAACCTTCAACGGGTGCTGATATTGTAGAATTTTAATGGCAGTGAATGGTAAGAGAGAGAGAAAAAGAGAGGAGAGAGAGAGGCAGAGAGAAAAAGTGGGTTTTTGGGGTAGAGAGTATGTAGAGAGAGTTTGGGCACAGGGAAAGAGCAATATGGGTTTTTTGGGTAGAGAGAGGGCAAAATGGTTTTTTTAGACATAGAGAGAGCATTTGGGGGGAGAGAGTTCGGGCATAGAGGGAGGGAAGAGATGCCTAACACGTAACTACAAAACATAGGAGAAGAGAGAGGGTAAGGGCACTTTAGTATTAAATTGTTTGACTATTTGACTGGTTAAAGTATTGGGGTTTAGGCTGTGAGAAAAAAAGTAATGGAATGCTCGTTTTGCCCATGGGGCAATTGCCTCTTGCCTTGGTTTGGATGGTTGGGATGCCCTTGCGGGTTTTTGTCCCAACCTTTAGGGTATGCGTCATTTTTTATTTTCGAGCTCCAATAAGTCCATGCCCGCATTACCACACTTATCCTATAAACCCTTCACCATTAGTAGGCTATTTGGCCCTTTTTGTGATCTTGAATCAACATCCCTTTTTGTGATCTTGAATCAACATCAATCATGCCCCAACCATTTTCACCCATTTAAAAACATTACTTCATTAATGTATGACACCATGATTAGAGGCCTTTTTCAGTGCTTTGAACCAGTAAAACAGTAAAAGCTATTCAAAACTTCAACGGTTCAACCAAATGCACAATAGTGGCTATTCAAACGTTCAACGGGTGCTGATATTGTAGAATTTTAATGGCAGTGAATGGTAAGAGAGAGAGAAAGAGAGGAGAGAGAGAGGTAGAGAGAAAAAGTGGTTTTTTGGGTAGAGAGTCAGTAGAGAGAGTTTGGGCACAGGGAGAGAGCAATATGGGTTTTTTGGGTAGAGAGAGGGCAAAATGGGTTTTTTAGGTATAGAGAGAGTATTTGGGGGGAGAGAGAGTTCGGGCATAGAGGGAGGGAAGAGATGCCTAACACGTGACTACAAAACATAGGAGAAGAGAGACGGTAAGGGCATTTTAGTATTAAATTGTTGACTAGGGGGCTTCAAGTATTGGGGTTTAGGGTGTGAGAAAAAAGTAATGGAATGCTCGTTTTGCCCATGGGGCTCTTGCCTTGGTTTGGATGGTTGGGATGCCCTTACTGGTTTTCGTCCCAAGCCTTGGGGTATGCGTCATTTCTGATTTCGCAAGGACCCTGCATTTTTTTTTAGGGACCACAAAGGGTCCTGTGTCTGTCGACGGGACAAGGAGCAAAGTTCGCTTGCCTGTTGAGGGTAGTGATGCATGAGTGCGCATCGAGCTTTTGAGTGGGCCCGAGATTTTTATGGGCCGAGAGGGAAAGAGTTGAGTACTTGAGCGGCATTTTGATGACGGTAGGTGTGCCGTTTTCGATGAGCTGCATCACGCATTCGGAGCAGTAAATGCTGAATGAGAGGGTTGCATTGGCGTCGTACGACAACGTGATTACATGTCCTCAACGCTTCCTCGGGATGGGGCATGTTCTTCTTCCGCACGTGTGGCATGTCGCTTCGCATGCGGTTCGTACTGCTGTACTCTTGGGTCATGCGACGTTTCACTTGTGTGACGCTTCAGTTCGCATGGCAGTTGTGCTTCTGTGCTCTAGTTTTCATGCGACGCTTCACTCTGCGTGCTGTTCACGCCCTCTTGTAATTGGGCCACACGTTGCTTAGCCAGTTTTGTGGGATGTGCGCTCTTCCTTCTTTGGCTCTTATAAGAAGGGGGACGGAGGGGTTCACCTTTGAACTGTGAACCTTAATTTTCTTTCTATCTCCCGCCTGCATTGCTTCCATCATTTTCTTCAAGCGGAGTTGTCTATCGACAATAATGGCCAGCACAAGCGCTGCCCCTTCCCCTGGTAAGGTTTCTTTTCTCTCGCTGCTTGCTGGGGACTGATTCTTGCATGGGCGTCTCCCTGGGAAGGGGAACCTCACTTGGAAACATTGAACCTCCCCGGGAGATAAAATGGTCCACCAGCATCACCTACATGGGAGAAAGCACTGAACTCTGCTCCTATGGGGGCAACAACGAGAAGCCTTTCATTAAGAGGGACGACATACCTCTCTGTCATGCCTTGCACATGAGTTTTGCTTCCAGCGAGGATATGCCTACACTGAGAAAGAGTATGTTGGCTAAGCCCGGCCTTCAATGGGCCGCCGGTGCTCTTCGTTTTGAGGGAGAACACCATTTCATGGCCGGGTACAACACTTGGAAGTTTGACGTCCTTGATTCCTTTGCCAAGATCTTGGAGGATTGCAGGGTAGCTGCGGCATGCCAGTTCTTGGCTAGCTATTACGACCATTGTCCCAATACCGTCAAGGCTTTATTGGAGGCATGGTGCCCCAAGACTAAAAGTTGGCACTTGGAGGGTGGTGAAGCAGGAATCACCCTTCTAGATTTGTACTTTGTGGGTGGCCTTCCCCTGTTGGGGGAGATGTATGTAGAGTTCATACCGAGCAACATGTCATTTTTGGCAACCGTTCCATCAGGGGTAGGCCGGCTCTGTCTGGTCTCAGTGAGCTGTTTGAGATTTATCAGCTATTGCTCTCAGAGTCCAAGCTCAGATCCGGTGGGGTGCACTTTGGAGTGTGGAGGGATTACTTTCACGGCAACCACCAGGATAGTGAAGACGTAAGGTCGAGTGTCATGTGGAAAGACGACGCATTGATGGAGGAGACCATTAAGGCTTCCAAGAAAACAATGACCCCTCTTAGGCATGAAGGGCGGGACCGCGTATACATGGCCGTGTACCTGGCCCTCTTCCTATGTAAAATTTTCATTGCCGAGCTCAAGGGGTTACGTCATTCAGCCAGGCTATTTTTTTGTGGCCCGTATGATGGACGAAGGGACCGGCTTCGCGCTAGCTTAGCTCGTTTTATGCAGCATCTTCCATGGGCTGGGAACCATTGCGCGTGGGAAGGTTTCCCGAGGGACGTCGGGAATGAGGCCCTTGCAACCAAAGGTCTCCTTGGGTGTTTTACCACAAGCTTCCTGGTCCTTTATGTTTTCGGGTGGCTCTCTGGGTATTTCCCCGGGGGGCGTATGAGAATAATGGCAATCTAAGGGATGCCACCTGCCCCCATATGTTAAAGATCGTCGAGATGAAGGCTGTGCTTAGGGAGCCAGGGGATGCTTGTAAACTCCTTACCAAGGCTACCTTCTTCACCAAGGGCAACCCTTTTTCCAGTGGGTGGCCCTTCTGATAAGGTCTTTCTCGACGGCTTTGGAAATTCGATCGACGGGGCGACCACAGATACAGGGGAGGCTATGTACGTTGTGAGCGTATGGGGTTGTGTTCTTCCATACTGAGGTGTAGGTGACAAGAAACTTGAGGGGTATTTCCCTCACCGTTTTGTGAGCTAGCTCGGCCTGGACCAGGGATGCTGCGCCCCTGTATCCTTCAACAAGTCTAGAAGAAAAGGGGGGCCACACGACCTTGAGGCCCTGGTGACAAGTCGCGAGGGCTGGACCAACCTTGACATGAGGACGGTGTGGGAGACTTGTCTCAACCTCATGGGATCGAACTGGTTCGTGATTCCTCATTATGGTCGCTTGGGTCGTGTAACCGATGAGTACCGGCGGTGGTGGGACGCTGCTGACCGCACTTATTGGTGTCTTGACCACCCTTGGCAGGAGATCAATTTCTCTCGTCGGGATGGTAGGGTTGGGAAGCGCTTCACTTCTCCTCCCTTTTCCCAAATTTTCAAACTGGATTATTATCCCCCCAACTGGAAAGAGCTCGCCAAACCCCGCTCCTTAGAGAAGGACGAGGTAGGCACGGAGTATCTGTTGCTGCGAGGTGAGACAAAGTCTTTCTTTGACGACCTTATCCTCCTATTTGTGGGGATGAGGGAGGGTGCTGTCCCTAGCAGGGAAGAAAGACC